TAAATTTTTAAATAGCTCAAGTAGAAAAAATGAGCAGTCTCAGTAACAGCTTTATTGAGATATAATTCACATACCATAAAATAAGCTTACTTAAAGTATGCCATTTAGTGGTTTTTATTATATTGATGAAGTCGGGCAATCACCACAATTTGACAATATTTTCATTACCCTAAAAATACCTCATACACATTAGCAGTAACTCCTCATTCTCCTCCCTCAGCTCCCAGCAGCCACTAATGTACTTTCCTATGGATTTGCATATTCTAGACATTTCCTTTAAATAGAATCATGAAAACTGTGGCCTTTTGTGACTGGCTTCTTTCATGTACCATAATGTTTTCAAAGTTCAGTCACCTTGTAACATGTATCAGTACTTCATTCCTTTTTTTATCTGAAGAAAATAAATCATTTTTAAAATTTGCCAAGAGATCTAAGGGCCATTTATTGACAGACTTTGGCTGTTTTTAATCAAGGTACTACTTTCTCATTTTGAACCTGATAACATTCTACAAGATATCTTCCAGAAAGCTTTACTCTTACACCACCAGCTCCACTAGCCAGATGAAGAGCTTCTCACAGTAAGGTTATCATGAATATCAGAGAAAAAGGTTTGAGTACTGTAATTTTATCTTACCTTTAAGAAAAGGGATCTGACTTTTTATTTTTTAAAAAAACGGAATATGTAATCAATTACTCCATGTTATATTTACTTAAATATTTTTTATGTACCTGCTTTGTCCCTCCTTGGGTACTAGTAAAGTTCTGTGAGCATAGAAGAATGCTGGACTGTCATTTAACCATCACACTGGTACAGCTGGACCGGTTTTTAAAATATTGAAATACTTCTCTACTGCTTGGTCATAAAACACTGCTTCACCCCTCCAATGCCCACTTCTGCCCCAATACCTTCCCCAGTATCCCCATGCCTCAATTATTAAAGGGAGTAATGCTGGTACATCAGAAGGCCTCCAGATCAGCCATGGTTGCTAGATATTAAATATTATGATTGTTAACCACAGTAGGAAATGACCTTTTTTTTGAAGTTAAAGAATCATTGAATGAGAAAAATAGAGTCCATATCACAGCTTTGTCACTAGCTAGCTATGTGATCTTGGCTAAGCCATTTAATGTCTGTACTTCTGTGTCCTCAGCTCTAAAGTCAGAAGAGTTAATGCCTACCCTAACATGGGAGCTCTGGTAGCATAATGCCTAAGGCACTTGACTGCTAACCAGAAGGCTGGTGGTTCAAACCCACCAGCCACTCCTTGGAAGGAAGGTTGGGCATTCCTACTTCCGTAGTGATACTACCTCAGAAACCCAAGGAGGGGTCGCTATGAGTCGGGGCCGACTCGATGGCAAATAACAACAACAACAACAACAACATGGGAGGTCTGGTAGCATAGTGCCTAAGGCATTTGACTGCTAACCAGGAGGCTGGTGGTTCAAACCCACCAGTCACTCCTTGGAAGGAAGGTTGGGCAATCTACTTCTGTAGTGATACTGCCTCAGAAACCCAAGGAGGGGTCGCTATGAGTCAGGTCCAACTCGACGGCGCATAACAACAACAACTAACATAGAATGATTATAAGAGACACTAAAATTCTGAAGCTAATGTAGCCTATATGGTTTGTGAAATTGTTTCCACCTTTTTAGTTTACTTTTGTGAGAAAATATTTTGAAATATTTTCAGGGTAAGTAAATATTGACATAAATACAAGAGAATCAAATTCCTCAGGTCTAAGCCTGCACATGAAACCACTGAATCCTGTATCTAAAGTGAATTCACAAATAAGAAGAATTTAATCTATTAAGGAAGTAAGTGAACCCATCTTCACCTCTTAATTTTTTTCTCATCTGTATTCCTGTAAGACAGGTTTCATAATTGTAAAAATGGTGTCAGGGTCTTCTGCCTTCGTGTAACTTTGTTAAGGGGAAGAGAATCATTATCAGCATCAGCAGCCCAAAACTTGATTCCTTTGAAGTGAAGGTCAAACATACATCCTTTCTTCAAACTTTCTACTAGTTGTGACACCAACTGTCCTTTCTGCGTCACTCTCTACTCCTCTGCTAGATTTGATAATTTGTTCCATTAACCGCACAGAACTCACAGACAATAGTCACAATTATGGGGTTTACTAGGGAAGTGTTAGAGTATGACCAGAGTCTCTGTTAAAACTAAAGCAAAGCATTTTATTGACATAATAGAATGATTTGAATTGGAGTTGCACTTAGTGAGGATTCATTAAGATGTTCCAGCATTCTGAAGGAGAGGTGAGCTTTTTAGACAGAAAAGTGGGGAAGGGAGTACATGACTGTAGTCAAGAGGCTTCGGATTACAAATGTTTACAAGACATAGCAAGTTGAAATTTTACAAGGTTAGCTGATTTAGTTTCTAACATATCTTGGAGCCAACTTAGTAAGCTATATGTACATTTCTTCCTGAGGCTTACTATGCATGCATTCTTCTGAGATGATCTTGGTTTGTTAACACGTATTTCTTCACAAACTATATTCTTATTCCCTCTATTGTGTGTTGAGAGTGATTAAAGTTTCACAACAAGTTATGGCTCTAAATCACAGGCTTTATTCTTAGGACGGCAGAAAAGAGGACTCTGGACAGGTTTAATCCAATAAAGGAGCTCTGATTTCAGCCTAGACAGTCATCCTTAAATATGCCAAGCACCTCACTTTTAGAGTACCCTTGCACAGACGTATAACTGACTAACTGGCCTCTTGAGTAAAAGACTTACAATCTATTCTCTAATATAGTCTCTACTTTTGCAAGCATTTGCAACACCCTTTTCCAGGAATATTCCCTAAATAATCATTATTGCAATCTTTGTTGTTACAGCCTGCCAAGAAATAATTCCTTCCTTTTATCTTGTTAAACTATACTATTCCTTAAGCCCTTCTGCAAACACATTTAGAAACAATTGCTATAAGTGGCTGCTCTCAACTTTCATGATACGTGAAGTAAAGACAACATAAAGTGGAGTTGGAGTTTTACCTGTATCAAGGTCTGTCTTCTCAGCCATGCCAAGTGCTCCAAATTTTGTGCTCCTCCACAGAAGTAACAAGTTATAATTCAAGATCAGGAACAACTCAGGATACAGTTCTTTGATCAGAATAGCATTTTGGCCATGCCCAGAGGCAGGCCTCTCCCTGACCCTTGGTCTTTCAGCCCTTGGGTCTCATCCTCTTGGGCCAGCCAAGCCTGTGCTCTGCTTGGGCAAGTGTTACAAAGCTCTTTAGCTCCACCAGTAACTGCTCAGAGACAATCCACTCTGCCAGTAAACCTTTTGCCCAAAAGCCTTCGACTCTCTCTCACTCCTTGGGTTGTTGACCCTACCTCTGCCTGGTGCCCAGAGGCACCCCATACACTCTGCCAGTAAGCCTCCTGCTTGAAGGGACTCAGCTTTCTCACTCCATGAGCTGAGAAGCCCATGGTGCTGTCTCCTGCTGGTCTTCTAGTTTTCCTGCCACCATTTCTCTGCCACTATTTCTCACTACCTTTAGTGTGACAGCGTTCTTTGTCTCTGTCTCCTGGGTCTAGGAGGTATTTAGTGCAGGGATCCAGAGCCCAAATGACATGCCCCCCTCCTAGTTCTTCTTCCTTGGTGATAGTGAAGTCCCCCTTTCTACCTCTGGAATGTTTCATGCTAAGCCTAGTAGGATGGCAGAAGTAACCAATCCTCTCATATGTTGTTGTTGTTGTTGTTATATGCCTTCGAGTTGGACCCGACTCATAGCGATCCCTCCTTGAGTTTCCAAGGCAATATCACTACGAAAGTAGATTGCCCAACCTTCCTTCTGAGGAGTGGCTGGTGGGTTTGAACCACCAGCCTCCTGGTTAGAAGTCAAGTGCCTTAGCCACCATGCTATCAGAGCTCCTATCTTCTCATAAGGGTTCCATATACCTATTTGCATGGTCACCGCCCCCCATAATGCCATGCACCTTATTTGCTTTATTAGCAAGCTATTGGATCCTCTTGGTGAGTCACAAGCACCTTATTTGCATAATCTCACCTAATCATTTGATAGGATTTACCAGACCATGGCAAGAAAGGCCATATAAAAGTGATCCACCTCTTCACAAGAACTTTTGTAAACTCTGTTGAAGGTTATTGAGATGTTAAAGAAATACAGGAAGTGGTAAAAGGTAATTGCTATTTGATGCATATATCTGTGAAGAGCCCTGCGGTTTTCTTCTCCGTTTATTCGTTGCAAACACAAGTTGGTTATTTTGGATTTACACTAGGTTTTCTGTGGACAATTACCACAAAAAAATGCTCATTTTTAAAAGTATTCATTGGAGAAAATCTCTTTAACAGACCTAAAGAAATAGTAATATGTATTACTTCTCTGCTCTTTTCAAACCAGAACATAAATACTTTTATTATACAGATCCTTTCTTTAATAAAATTGTACTAATGTTATTTTGTGCTAAATGTAGTATTGTTTAGTAGATAATAATTGGAATGAGGAATACTTTATTACACACCAGCTTATATAATGTATTAAAAATGGTTAAAGAAAAATGAGTTCAGAGGGTTTTTTTTGTTTTTTGTTTTTTTAATGAAAATTTAGGATAATCTTTCAGTACATGTCCAACTTGGATATTGGGAGTATACATCTCTTTTTCTCATTTGTTTTCATTTTATATATTTGTCTCAAGTCTTAAACTTCAATACCTACTTTGTATAACTTGGTGAAAATTATTTTTTGATCATTGAGTCAGATGAACCTTCTGATTATTCACTTTGTATTTCTACTAAAGTTTTCTTCCAAAAAGACATGAAAGTCTGGTGGAAAATGTCATCACTCGTGTTTCCATTTTCTGTATTTTTTTAAATTAGGTGTCTATCAAATCAGCAAACAAATCAAAGCTCATGATGGCAGTGTGTTCACACTTTGTCAGATGAGAAATGGGATGTTATTAACCGGAGGAGGGAAAGACAGAAAAATAATTCTGTGGGATCATGATCTGAATGCTGAAAGAGAAATAGAGGTAAGATTAGAAACTGAATGTAAAATGTAAAAATATTAAACCTTCTAAACATAAGTATTTTATCCCACCTTAAAACAACACACTTTTCTGGGAGATAGATTGGACAGAGTAATACACTTGGTTATTTACCTCTGAAACTGCTTTTTAGTGGTCAAAAAAGATAAACTTCAACAGTATCTAAATCCAAGATATACAAGATGACTAGTTTAATTTTAAAATTTGAAAATGATCTTTACAACAGTGGGCTTAATAATTATCATTGATTAGCAGTGTATATGTCTGCTTTGTGGCGATTATTGCTGTTAGGTGCCATCAAGTGTGTTTCAGTTCATAGTGACCCAGTGTGAAAGTAGAACTGCCCCATAGGCTTGATCTGCTTTACTGAAGTGGATCTCTCCAGGTCTTTATTGCACAGAACTCCTGGGTAGATTTGAACTGCCAACATTTCTAGCAGACATACGCTTAACCATTTGTGCCATCAGAGCTACTACTACACTACACTCATGCTCAGTGAAAGTTTGCTGATTTATTTGAAGTCTCAGAAAGTGAAATTATTAGGGAGAATAATTTAGATCATAACTTTTCAAAACAACAGCAAATCTCACATAATTTAATATTGCTTATATTTTTGATGGTTTAAATTTTGAATTTATTCTCAATGTTTTGTCTACATACAATATGCTTCTTGGGCAAAATCTTTTCTAAGAAGAGGATCCTGATAGTGCTTCTCTTAGGCTTTATTTCCAAGAAGATAGAAAATAATGACTTGTTTTATCACAACCTTAAGTTGATTGTAAAAGTTCCACTTCCTTTACTATTTTTTTTCTTCACAGATGACTCATATTTGTAGTCAAAAACTATATGATCTAGTTGCCATTTCTAACATTTACTGAGTGTATACCACGTAGTGTGCTACATGAGATTGATCTACCAAAGAGTCATATTAATGACAGTTATAATACTTTACAATGTATTGCTTTTAAGTTTACAGAGAAATTCCACATGAATTCTTTTTATATTTTGATCCTCCAAATAGTCAAATGTAGGTAGGGTGGGTATTACTATTCCCAAGTGACTTACTGCAAAAACGACAAGGAGGCCACATGTTCAGACCTCCTCTAATCCCACAAGAGGAAGACAGGATTACCAGCAGTAACC